GAACATTGGCAAGAAAATCTAAGATATTCCACGCAGCAACATTTTTACCGATATGTCCCCTAGAGCAAGGAATATAAAGGAAACAATAAACAAATGGTATCTCATCAAAATAAAAAGCTTCTGCATGGCTAAAGAAAACAGTATTAAATTAAAAAGACAACCAACTGTACGGGAAAACATATTTGCCAATGATACCTCAGACAAAGGTTTAATCTCCAATATATACAAAGAACTTACACGACTCCACTCTAGGAAGACATCTAACCCAATTAAAAAATGGGAAAAGAACTTGAACAGACACCTCTCCAAAGAGGACATACAGAATATCCAGAGACACATGAAGAGATGCTCAATATTGTTAGCTATCAGAGAGATGCAAATTAAAACCACAATGAGATACCACTTTACACCAGTCAGGATGGCTATCATAAACAAAGCAACAAACAACAAATGTTGGAGAGGTTGTGGGGAAAAGGGGACCTTAGTTCACTGTTGGTGGGATTGCAGACTGGTACAACCATTATGGAAAACAGTATGGAATTTTCTCAGAAAGATAAAAATCGACATGCCTTTTGACCCAGCAATTCCACTGCTAGGATTATACCCCAAGAATCCTAAAACATCAATTTCAAAGAACCTATGCACCACAATGTTCATAGCAGCACAATTTACAATAGCCAAGAGTTGGAAGCAACCTAGGTGCCCATCAGTAAATGAGTGGATCAAAAAATTGTGGTACATATACACAATGGAATTCTATGCAGCAGAGAGAAAGAAGGAGCTACTACCCTTTGCAACAACATGGATGGAACTGGAAAGCATTATGTTGAGTGAAATAGGCCAGGCATTGAAGGACAAATACCATATGATCTCACCTTTGACAGGAAGCAAACAATAAAACAAACAAGCAAACAGAATAAAAACAAAGACACTGAAATAGAGAACAAGTGGGCAGTGACCAGAGGGGAGAGGGAAGGGAATTTAAGGGGGAAAAATGGGGAGGGATTTTGAGGAACAAGTATGAAAGACACAGGGATGAGGACTGGGGGGGGGGGGGGAATGGGAGGGAGGTGGGGAGACGGGGCGGGGGGGGCTGGGATGGAAGAAATAGACAAAAAAAATGTACTTGAAAAATAATTAAATAAAAAATTTAAAAATAATAATAATAAATAATAATAAATAAATAAAATATTTAAATTATTTAATATAGTTATAAACCAACCATGAATAATAAAGAAAATCTGGAAAATGTTAAACAAAATATAAAAACTAGTTTGAAATGTTATTGGCCATCTATGAAATCACTACTAAGTCACTTCACCTCTTGTCCTAAGGTTCTACACTGTAGAAAAAGGAATTTATGACTTCTAACATCCTTTATGCTTCTAAATATCTGAGCTCCTGTAGAAATGTAATACAATTTGAGTCCTAAGTTTTGTGTCTGCTACATTGTAAACACCTCCCATACACAAAAACACACCACAATGATATATTAAAAAATTTCTCGGGAAAAGAAAAGTGTGAAAATTCAAAATAGCCATGAGGCATTTTCATATATCAACTGTGGGAGAATACCTGCCATAATCCTTCCTAAAGCATGACATCATCTATGAAACCTTGGAATGAGGAAGCCCTTCAGATCCAGTATTTGCACTTCTAGGAATGAAGAATAAAGAATGACTTGCACATTTACATAAACACACATGTTCAAAGATATTATATTACAACATTGTATATATGATACACAACTCAAACCTAAAGTCCAAACCTGAGATCTTGATTTCACTCCCGATTCTGTTCTACCTAGTCTTCCACATTTTAGTAAGAAGCGGCCCCAGTTGGTCAAGGCAAGTATCAAAAAGTCATCATTCAGCCCTGGCTGGTGTAGCTCAGTGGATTCAGCGCAGGCCTGTGAACCAGACCATCACAGTTCGATTCCCAGTCAGGGCACATGCCTGGGTTGCAGGCTGGTTCCCTGCAGGCCAGTTCCCATCAGGGGACACACAAAAGGCAACCATACATTAATGTTTCTCTTCCTCTCTCCTTCCCTTCCCCTCTAAAGATAAATAAAATATTTTTTAAAAAAGAAGTTATTATTCATTACCCCTTCACAATAAACCCACTGAAAGTCTTATCTTTTTTTCCTATAAAACACAATGAAAATCAGTCACTCCACTAGATCTCTACTGCTACCACCCCAGTCCCAAACACCTTTATGTCTCACCTGGGCTACAGCAAACACCTCCTGATGATGGCCTCCCACTTAGCCTTTATTCCTCAGAACAACAGAAGCCCAAACAATCATTTTAAATAAAAGCATGCATTTCTGTGTGTAAAACTCTTTCACACCTTCCATGCACTTACAGAATCTAAATGCCTCATAACTCTACCTGCCTTTCCAAGCTCATCTCCTGCTATGTTCTCCCTTGCTTTGATCATGCCAGGCAAAACTGACCATTCCTAAAACCTACCAGGCTCTTTCCTGTTCCAAGGCCCTTGAGCATGTCTTTCTCCTCCCTGGAAATCATCTTTCGAGGCTGGCTCCTCATTATCCAGTTATCATCGAAATAGCCTTCCCTTTGCCCACCAACAAGTATTTTCCTTTTTGTACAGTATTACTTAATAATACCTGTTCCCATCATATACTCACCTCCATCTTTATGTGTTGTTTATTAATTATAATTTTTTCACTCTAGTGCATAAAATCCAGATGGCATTAATGGTTTCACTATTTTCCTGGCAACATGTATAGTTCATATCAGTAAGTATTTATTATATGAATGACAGACTAACATAAGGGCAACCTGAGTTTTTGCTTTCATTTGCCACAGATAAGCAATTGTTTAAATTAAGAGTCTTAATTTAAATAATGTACTGAAAGTTTATCATCTGGCTTCAGCAATCTTCTTGGCTTCAACTCAGGCCACACACACATACCTTAATCTGCGGCCACTTCCCTTTGGGAAATATAAATTGATTTGATTGGCTGTAACTCAAGGGGTGTTCGGCAAGAGCCGAAGCTAACAAGACTGCTGAGGACAGATCAGGCTTTTGTCACAGAATAGGCGATTATGTTTTAGAGAGAGTCAGAGGTTTGTTACCAAAGCCTGTACACTATACAAACTAGTAGGGTATTTGATAAACTGCAAGAGTGAAAAATTGGATTCACTACAAAGGTTACCTCTTATAAACATAGTAACATTTTTGCGATCATAGAATCAGTAGTGTGTTTCTTGTGTGACACACTAAAATTTAGATTTTTCCTTGACTATTAAAGATTTCAAAGGTTTTACACAAAAGCCTGTGTGCCTTGTTCCTAAAACTACCCCAGTGAAATTATGTGAAGTTGGCTTTTTGAAATCTTACCCCATCTTAGAAAATGTACTAGATTCAAAATAAATGCTCTTTCCACTGATAACAGTCTCCTCATCTCACTCATTCCAAATTGTACCACATTTTAAAAACATACTATTGGTTCATATGCTTGCAAATCCTTCTTTTATTTCCAAATGAAGTATGTTTATATAAAAAGTACTTCTAAAATCATGCTGCACAATATATACTTTGTTATTGAAACTATTTTGCTATTTATCACTCTATAATTGGGAAATTTTAATACCTTAATATTTATTTTCAATATTAATTCTAATAAAAATAACAATCTTAGCGTTAAAAAAAATAATGCCTATACCCTGGCTGGTGTGGCTCAGTGGTTAAGTGCTGGCCTGTGAATCAAAGGGTCCCAGGTTCGATTCCCAGTCAGGGCACATGCCTGGGTTGCAGGTAAAGTACTCAGTAGGGGGCACACAAAAAGCAACCGCACACTGATGTTTCTCTCTCTCTCTTTATCCCTCCCATCCCCTCTGCTTAAAAATAAATAAATACAACCTTTAAAAAATAATGCCTATATTGCAACAGGTCCCAATCCTCCTTTCTTTTTACTCGAAGACTTTTCTTCACTTTCCTAGACCCTGAAAGCTTCTGATTTGGTTGTTCTCTAATTTTCCTCCATATCTGCTCTTAAAATCCCAGGAAAGACAAGAGAAATGTTAAGATCTACTTTCATTAGCACATTCCTCTCCTACCACCATAACTGTTTTTCCATTAAAAATGATCCTTTGTTAAAGGTGAGATCCATTTGATCTCACCTTTAAGAGGAAGCTAAACAACAAAACAGACAAGCAAGCAAAATAAAAACAAAGACACTGAAATAGAGAACAGGGGGACAGTGACCAGAGGGGAGAGGGGAGGGAATTTCAGGGGAAAAGGGGAAGGATTTACAGGAACAAGTATAAAGGACACATGGACAACAACTAAGGGGGATGGAAATGGGAGGGAGGTGGGGAGCATGGCGGGGGCGGGGTTGGGCTGGGATGGGAGTAAAAAACAGAAAATTGTACTTGAACAATAATTAAATAAATTTTAATAAAAGATTCTTTGTGGGGGGGGAGTAGAAAGACAAATAATCAAATTTCTTGTTTGAGCCTCTGAGTAATGCTGCTTTATCTACCTGGAGCAACATGTTTGATAATTCCTGAGGTTCTGTATCTCTGGAGAGTGATAAGTTCTTCAGTTCTTAGGAAAAGCTTCAGTTCTCCCATAAATTTCACCTGTCTTTATCTCACCTCAGGAATCAACAAGTCCTGAGGTAGAGCCATAACTTTATCAAATAAAACTGCACAGGGAAAAATGATCCATCTTAGAACTCCAATAAAGTCACAACCTCCAAAGAAAACAGGTTATCACTTTTTGAGGAGGACTGTGTGTAATATGGGGAATGAGTACCCGAGGATTAAAACTTTGGAACCCCTGAAGCGCTCACTAATGCATAATCTGCCTTTGTAATCTACTTCACAAAATTCACATCAGGACAAAGCAGTGAGCAGTGAAAGAGACCTTCCCCTAACTTACCTGTAAAAGAGAGTTGCAATATATAGTCAGTGGCCTAGTTTCATGTTACTTCTTAAAGTAAAACAAACAAAAACACAACAGAAACTTACCTTCATAAGGGGACCCTAATTGATATTTTCCACTAAAAAATTTTGGCAATGAAAATACAAGGGCTCCCAGTCCGATCATAAAGGAAGCAAATGCAAGCCATCTTGGTTTGTGTCCTCTTTCGCCAATATAGGATACAAATAAAGACAACAAACAGAAGGCAATATCATAGCTCGATGATATCAGGCCCGTCAGGGAACTCTTCATTTCATAGCGCTTCTCAATAGTGGAAATGCTAATATTTACTAAGCCATTTACTACGACACCTAAAAGAGAAAAAAAATATTATGTGCATTATTACAACTTTACCATATAGATCATGGTTATTAACACAGTGTACTAAAGTTTGGTTGTTTCCTTTGATACTTTTAAATGTACCAGTTTTAAAAGACTCAAAATTTCAAAGGTAGGCAACCCAAACATACCTCCTTACAAATCAGTTTCCTTTTAAGTTGCCCACTTGTGAATTTTCGGGTGTTAAATAAAATTGATGCTTACCACATCCTACACTATGGCTAACTTCATTTTTATTTAAATTGTAATCAGAAAGTCAGACTGATAAAGAAGGTCTCATAAGGCCAGTTGAGTTTCTCAGTGTAACATACTCTCACTGACCTCATTCTGAAGAGCACAAAAAGTACCACTGATTGCAGAGGTCAAGTGAGTAAAACTCAAGCACTTCCCAGGTTACTCAATCCTTAAACATATTTACCTATAACAAGAGACCCTTGACTTAGTTTTAAGAAAGTTAAAATTGAACTCTCAAGCCCTTTTTCTTTCTTTAACACTCTTATGGACACTAAAGTTAAAGGTCCTGGAGAGAAAGTGAACATAAATTAAGAGTATTATTTCAATCACTGGCATTTTAAATCATAGGCAAAGAAGGGGAAAAAAACCTTACACTTCATCTGCTTATTATAACTATGACAGAGAACTACAATATAAACAAGGAAAAGCTGTTTTGACTGAAGTCCAATTTTGACTGAAAAAAATATATCCTGTCCAAATACAGATTCATTTTACCATTTAAACAGTACTATAATTTTTTAAAATGCATCCGATGAAGTTACAAAGTTTTTATTTATTGGGGTGACTAGAAAGTGTGCATATTTTTTTCTGTAAAATAAGACACATTTTTCATGTTCACCAATAACTTTACTGATTTGGATATCTTGAGTATGTTGGCTATCTCTCGTGTGGTATAAGGTTGCTTGTTCTCAATTCAGATTAGATCACTATCAACTTCAACGAGTCTACCCAACTGCAGAGCATTGTCCAGCAAGAAATCTTCAGCACAGAACTTCACAAACCACTTTTCACACGTTCAGTCAGTCACAACACCTTCTCCATCCACTGCACAAATCTTATTTTTTGTTTCAGTTGTGTTTTCACCTTCCTCAAAATAATAAAGCATATTATGCTGAAAATGTTGCTCATTTTCTTCTACCTTCAATATTAAAACGGCCACACAAAAATTCACTAATTTTGATGCTTTTTTAAGTGCATGCTTATACAACAGCTGTTACAGTACAATCTAACAAAATTGTTTTGAATACAGTTAAATACACCTAAGTGCTACCAGGGCCACCTTATGGAAAAAAACAAAAGAACTTTTTGGCCAGCCCACAGTTACCCCTTTTACTTTAGAGACTATAAGAAATTGTTTTCATTTATTAATTAATAGAAAGAGTGTACACAAGCCATAATCTATACAATTTCTTTAAATATTTCATTTATTTATTTTCAGAGAAGAGGGGAAGGGAAGGAGAAAGAGAGGGAGAGAAATATCAATGTATGGTTGCCTCTCATGCATCCCCTTCTGGGAACTGGCCTGCAATCTAGGCATGTGCCCTGACTGGGAATCGAACTGTGATCCTTTGCTTCACTGGCCCGCACTCAATCCACTGAGCTACACCAGGCAGGGCACAATTTCTTTAAATTTTGGTTTGTCAAGACTGTAACTGGAAATACATTTCAAGAAAATTAATAAAATGAATTTAAAAACCCTGAAATAATTTTTACTTTTATGCCAGTTTAATAAGTCTGTAAGTCAATTTATAATTCCTAAGATTTCAATGTAGAAAAAGGTATCTAAAATACCTAGGAATGATATATTTGTAAGGAGCTAAGGTTATGAGAATATGAAAGTTCATCATCCAAAAATCAACTTCCTAAAACATTTGCCATACTGATTAAGTCAGTCATTAGAACACCTTGCCATTACAGTAATACTTTTCTGAAAAAGTAAATTTGTAAACTTTTGCAGAAGTACACGTTAATCATCATGTCCAATGTCAACTCTGTGCTATAGAAATTCCAAGAACTCTGCATTTAAAAAGAAAAAAGGAAAGAAATTCCACAGAATACCACATAACATGTCTTTCTACCATGAACACATGAAGATAAGAGGCACATTGGGAAATTAAGTTCTCAGAGAAATTCTGTTATCTCAGAGAAATTAACTCAGGGTTGAGTTAGATAAACTCACTTGACAAGTGCTGGGGTTCTCCCCAATAAAACACCTATTAATATTCCATGGAAATGGTCTTCCCAAGGATCATGTTTGAGAAACATATGGTAGTAACGTCTTCAGTCATCCTAACTTAAACTGAAACAAGAATGGTAGGCCATTTTTATCTCAAATTATGCTTCTTAAACTGGAGACCTCTGGGTAGATGGAGCTCCAGGCTAAACATTTTTTTAAGAGTACCAATTATATTCAATAAACATCTTTAAAATGGTATATTAAATGTAAAATGACATCTGGAATAACACAGAAATTTCAGAATTCATTTTAACATAAAACACAAGATGTCTCTTGGTGTCCAGATTCTTTGAACCTTCCAACCCTTCGACTCTGAGATGCTCCACAATCTTGGATTTTGGACGATTAAGATCGAGAAACTGAGAGAAGGTAAATTTTGATGGGGACAAGAGAGGTGGAAAGGAAAATAACTCTTTAGCACAAAACTACCTTTGGTAGAAGGGCTGCAGTTAGACCGACGTGCAATCAACAAACTCTTGGCACCTAACAGTACAAACCAAGGGGCATGGAGTTCTTTTGAGACAGAGGAGCAAAAGCAAGAACAGGAAGTATATATTTAAATCTATTCTGTTGATCTTAGAAAAGATCAATTTCCAGCCCCTCCCCCAGGGTTCCTTGGATGGCATTTCTTCCCATCAATCGTTGCTTGACTACTTACACAAAACTTTAAAACTATGACTTAAATTCTAATTAGCCTTCAACAAGTCCTGTAAGGCGCTCCGCCCCATTCTGTACCTCTCCCCAATTTGCCACGTTGGTGTTAGTGTAATTTCCATTCTTTCGCTGCCTGCAGGAGATCCACCGCCGCTGTGCAGCTTCAACTTTCTACCTACGCTTTCCTTCCTGGGGCCATTCTCCCGTACCCCACCCTCTGCTCCCTCCTCCGAACCAAGCTTAGACTGCAAACTCCTGAGGGTATAAACTTGGACTTTATCAGTAACTCTCAAGAAAAAGTAAAAGAAATGCTTGGAGAAAACAAATACCGCCTAACTCTTGAGTATTTGAAAAACCTCAACCTTCAACAACGCTCCAAGCCGTAGCTAAAAGCACTGGACTCCACTCGTACCCTCAAACAATTCAAACTAACTGAACTCTCGGAACATGAATGCTTGTATCTAACTTCTGCTTTATGTACTCCACAAGCTTCTCCTCTGAGAGTCACCCTACCCTCACCAGCAAATTTATTAATTAATCCTTCCATTCTAGAAACTGTAAAAAAAAAAAAAATCCCTTCATTTGGGGGGGGAGGGCTTATAAAAAATGCATGCTTTTGTGGTCCCCGGGACACCCCGTTGCCACTGGAAAACTCAGGTAGTTTCGATCTTCCTTGGAGGTATTGAAATCGGCTAAACTGAGGTTCGGCACCAGAGAGAAAAGGCTGTTTGGCAAGCCTTGAATAGTTGCTGCTACAAAGGAGAAGCTAAAATGTGGAAGTCTGAACCTAGTTGGTTAACGTGGTGTGAGCGCTTAGGAGCCCACTGCCGGGGTCGCCCCCGCGGGGCTCGTGGACCACCTGGCCCCGGCGCACCTGTCCTCATCCCCCCCCAGCCCTCCGCGCCCCTCCGCGCCCCTCCCCGCCCTCCGCTCTCCAGCGGGCGCTGGACGGTACCTTGCGTCAGGGCCAAGAGGCAATAGTGGACCAGAAACCCCTGGGGCGTGTTGCACAGCTGAAGACACTGGGGCTGGAAGTTCCCCCATCCGCAGGGCCCCTCCTCAAACTCGGACTCCGGCTCGGTCGGCTCCCGGGAGTCGGGGGCAGCTGCGGTAGGCAGATCGGGGGGCCGGTGTGTCGGCGCGTCCTCCCTCGGGGGGTTGGCGGACAGAGCGGAGACCTGGACGTGAGAGGGCGACGCGGAGAAACGGCGCGGGGTGTCGGGGCTGGAGCTGACGAAAGCTGGGTTCTCAATGCCTTTGAGGCCCTTCATCGTTCGGATGGGTTCTCTGGACTCCCGTGCATCCGAGCAGGAAAAAAAGCCACCCAAACAACAGGTCCGCCGTGGCTCCGCCCCAGGGCAGGTAGCAGCGCCCCCCGGGGGAAGGCTCCACCCTCCCTGCCTCCCAGCTCCCCGGCCCGGCCGCCGCTGCCACCCTCCCGCGGGAGCTCGCCGCCTGGCGGCCGCGCAGCCTTCGTTGGCGCCCCCACGCCTCACCTGTCCCCGCGCGGGGGGGGGGGGCGCGACCGGAGCGCGAGGGCGTGGGCGTGGGCGCGGGCGTGCGGCCCGGCCGGCGCCAGGTGAGGAGGGCAGGGCTCCCGCGCTGGGACCCGCCCGCCGCTCTCCCTGGGAACTCAAGTACCGGGAACCAAGTAGAGTGTGGGAGTCTGGTGGCCGAGCTCCCCTTGGGTGCTGGCAGGAGTTGCATCAGGAGATCTTTCAAGAAAATACCATTTGGTTTTCTTCCGTAGCTGTTTGCCAAACCAGCCTAGGTCTGGACTCGAGGAATCTAGCAGCCATAGGTACAATACTTTGCGTTCTGTGAACATGGTGGTGAGAATTTTACCTGCCACCCTCCTTAAAAATGGGAATCCCTACCTCTTGCAGCCCGACCCCGGCACCGCATCACAACATAGCTGCTTTTTTTATTCTGCTTCTCCCAAACTGAAGGAACAGAAATTAAGAAACTGGAAAAACATATATGTGATCCTTTTTCTGCAGTATATTGCAGGCGTAAAATCAACAGTGTTGATAATCATAAATAATTTCTACCTGGGGAATAAATAGGAAAAACACTCTGAAGAACTGTACACCATTTACGATTGCAGTTACAATTTATTCATTGAAAAATATTTATATCCTGGGCACCGAACATTGTTCTAAGATCTGGGGATGCAGTATGCATAAAAACTGAAACATAGCCCTGGCTGGTGTAGCTCAGTGGATTGAGCACGGGCCTGCGAACCAGACAATCGCAGTTCGATTCCCAGTCAGGGCACATGCCAGGGTTGCAGGCAGGTTCGCTGCAGGCCAGTTCCCAGCAGGGGACGCACGAAAGGCAACCATACATTGATGTTTCTCTCCCTCTCTCCTTCCCTTCCCCTCTAAAGATAAATAAATAAAATCTTTAAAAAAAAAAAAAACTGAAACATACCCTGGCCTTCTGGTGCTTGCATTCCAACAAGACAGGTAATAAGCAATAAATGTATAGTGTATTTCACTGTGCTAAGTGTCAGGGGAAAGTAAATCAAGGACAGGCTAGAAGGTGTGTTGTGTATATTGGGGAAGGGGAGGAAGGCGATGCTATTTTAAACTGGGTGGTCAGGGCAGGGCCGGCCTTACCGGGAAGGTTACATTTGAGATAAGACCTGGAGGAGGTAAGAGAGGAACCTGACATGTTGGGGATACAGGGGCTGCGGTGGAATGAGGTAGTTGGAGAGAGTAGGAGTTGAGGGCAAGTAAAGGAGTGCACGCAGGGTGGAGAGGAAGTGATTGGGGCCAGACTTGTAGGCCATTATAGGGCGGTAGCTTTTATTGTGAGTGAAATAGGAAGATTTGGAGCCAAGGAGTGACAGGATCCTGACATGATAAGGTTTTCAGATGATCCATCATCTCTCCCCTTCGGAAGATAGACTAATCTATCCCAAAGTAATATATTTTAAACAAATGCTTTTAAAACTATACCTAAAGATCTCGGAATGTTTATCTTTCCCTAAATTAAATGTTGATTCCAATAAAGAACATAATGAAAACCATACATATTTTCTTTTTGCTAGTCAATCAAAATCACATGTACAAAGTTGTTATGCTTCACAAGACTGTAGAGCGTTAAGGAACCTACTTTCTCAGATCTAATTACTAATTATATAATATCTCAAAACAGGTCTCAGGTGTCAGTGCATAATATACTGCTATATTACGTTGTTTTCAATGCACTGCTACTATTATCCACATATATGGGTCCTTTTATTAGAAGTTAGAGTACTTCACTACATACTGATTAATCATACTATCAAGTTGTAGAGATAATTTTTGTCTTGCTATCCTCACTTAACACTTGGCTAATTGCCTGCCCAAGAGGCTACTTCTACTTTCAGTGATAATACCTCTTGAAAGGCAGTGACTCGGTAGCGTATGATGGTCACCTCCAGTGTAGGCTTGAACCCAGAGAAGAGAGTGTGGTGATGGAAGGGTCTCCTCTCATAGTGAAACAAGGTGTTTCTGTGTCTTCTCACTGTAGACACTAGGCTCAATTAAAGTAACCTAGAGGAATGGTTTTCAAACACTTTTACTGCCTAATAAAATAAACTAGAATTCAGAAAAGAATACAGAATGCATGACACATACTATAAGTAGTATTTTGTGAAACTTTTGTTTTTATTATATATGCTTTATTTACTGAGTTGAGGGATTGAGGCTTTAAAAAATACATCTTACTTGGAGCAGACGTACATCCAGTTTCTTGTTCCTTCACAGTCAAAATAGGTCTAGACGGACCTAGAACAGAGTGAGAGTGCAGAAATAGGAAATGACATTTTTTAATGTCTACTATATGTCCCATTATTAATCCTTCTGAGAACAACAGCTATCAGTATCTATGTTTTACATATTAAAGAGCAGATTAGTAACTCACCCAAAATCATACAGCTAAATAAATGTCCTGCCACCTATTAAGGATATGAAGTCAGTTTTCCATGTAAGATATCTTCCCTGAACTTTGCATTTTTTCTTTTATTTGCTACAGCTTATCTTTATTGGTTAGAATTATTACATAGATTGTGAGGGCAACATTGCCCACAAGTCCCTCCGTCCGCCACGGATGAAAGTGAAACTACCAAGACATGATCTGCTTGAGGAGGAGAGGTGGCCAATCTCTCAGAGGAGAAGGGCCAGGAGCCCCTTCGTCAACGGCTTTTATTGGGTTGTAATACACAGGAATACAGGTGGCAAGGATCAAACAGTAGATAACATTTCAAAGAAATCTGAGGGCTTAATCTGAGTCAGAGTCTATCAGGAAAGGGAGTTGCAGAAACTTTGGGAGACATACTAATTTCCTGATCGGACCCTTATTATATGAATGAAAGCACTCTTAGCAACGCAGGTTTCACAGGACTTTTAGGAACTCTTTCTTATTCCTGATCACCCCAGATCCCACTCTAGCCAGCAAGGGGCCACACCATCTCCCCCATCACAGGTTTTTAGGCTTAAGTGGATTAGACCCAGGAAGTGCTTCTCCCAGAGACATTGGGACTTGGGCTATGTCAGAATAGCTGGGGGGCAAGGGTCCATCACTCCCTCTTTGTTGCATGAGGGCCTCCCAAGTGATCATGTCTGTCTTAGGTTGCCCCTCCTCTGAGGGGTGGTACCCATCTCTGACTAACTGACCATGCAGTAGAGGCAGAGGAAGAAGCAGAAGCAGCACGTGCTGCCAGATACAAGCTTTGTCTCCTAAGTGGCTTGAATTCCAGAGGTTGCTCACTCAGCCTTAGCAATGGGGGGCAGTTGCAACTCCTGAAAGCAAGCAGAGCGGTTCCCAACAATAGATATTCTGAGATATCAAGACTCATATTTACCTATTGATGTAGTCTCAGGACTAATTCTTCTCAGAATACCCCCAGAGGATTCAGATACCCAAATTAGGCTATCAGAAAATGTTTAGACACAAATGGACAAAAGGCAGTATCAAAAGGTATGAACAAATATGATCACCATTTTATCTATGAAATATGAAGCAATTTAACCAATATGAAAATTTTGCTTTCATGAGATGTAATTAAATAAAGTCACAATTTAGGATTATTTTGCAGGGTTGAATTAATAGATTCAAAGAAACACAATTGAACCATTATGTACTTCCAGCCAAGATGGAGGTGTAAGTAAACATGCTTTGCTTCCTTGAACAACCAAAAAAGGACAACAAATTAAAGAAAAAATCAGAACTGTCAGAAAATAGAACTGTATGGAAGTCCAACAACCAAGAAGTTAAAGAAGAAACATTCACCCAGACGGGTAGGAGGGGCAGAGATGGGCAGCTGGGGCAGAGAGGAGGCTCAGGAAGGCAGTGGACCAAGTGGGTAAGGAGGGAACTTGCAGACTGGGTGGTCCCATATTCACATGCATGTAAGCCAAGGAACAACTAGGGAGTAAGACAGACCATGCAACCCAAGGTTCCAGCACAGGAAGCTGAAGTCTCAAAACCTTTGTCTGTAAAAACCTGTGGGCTTTGTGGCAGCAGGACAAACTCCCAGACTCACAGGAGAGTTGGTTGGAGAAAACCAAAGGGTCCTAGAATGTACACAAGCCCACCCGCTCAGAAATCAGCACCAAAAGGGCCCAGTTTGCTTGTGGGTACTTGGGGGGAAGTGACTGAAAGTGGAGCGAGAGCTGAGCAAGCAGCATTGTTCCCTCTCTAACCCCTCCCCCACATACAGCACCATGAATGCAGCAATGTGGGTTGCCTGCCCTAGTGAACACTTAAGCCTCTACCCGTTGCAACATAACAGGTGCACCAAGACTAAGAAATATGGCCCAAATAAAAGAACACATCAAAACTAAAAAATAAAAAGAACTAAGTGAGGAGGAGATAGCCCACCTATCAGATGCAGAGTTCAAAACATTGGTAATCAGGATGCTTACATAAATGATTGAGAATGGACACAAAATAGAGGAAGAAGTGAAAGCTATGCAAAGTAAAATAAAGCAAAATATACAGTGAACCAACAGTGAAGGGAAGGAAACCTGACTCAAATCAATGATTTGGAGCAGAAGGAAGAAGTAAACATTAACCAGAACAGAACAAAAAACAACAACAAAAAAAGGAAAAGCTTAGGAACCTCAGGGACAACTTTAAACTCTCCAACATCTGAATCATGGGAGTGCCAGGAGAAGAAGAGGAGGAAGAATTTGGAAACTTATTTGAAAAAATAATGAAGATAAAATTCCCCAATCTGGCAAAGGAAATAGATTCCAGGGAGTCCAGAAAATTCAGAATCCAAAAGCATTTATTTTTTTTATCTTATTGATTATGCCATTACCGTTGGTTGTTCTAGCCCCCACTT